AATAAATAAATAAATAAATAAATAAATAAAATAAACTGTTGAAAGGGAGCTTCCTACCAATTTTTATCCTGCCCAGATGCCCTTCTGTTGCCTTAGATGGGTCCTAAATGACTGCCTTCCTTTCTCCCTTGTGTGGCGTCATCAGAGTTAGGCATTAAAGAAGGCATCCTGCTGGCCCGGGGAACGACCGAATTGGACTCCCCAACACCAATGGAGCCCTCCATCACGTTGGAAGTGCACGAGGAGGGGAGTAGTTCCGTGCTGTCTCTCCCTGTCGAGCCCCCAAAGGTAAGAGACCTGCAAGCAAGTGGGCGCTGCAGAGAATGAGGACGATGACCTTGACAGAAATATGCAAGAACTGTTCCCTGGGCAAAAGGGGCTGAAACATTTTTTGAGCCCAGAGCAATGGGACAACATTTGGAAGTGACTCAGGAAGACACCTCCCTGATTCACCTGGCTATAGGAAGGGGGAGGAGGTGCAGCACAATCAGACTTGCAAGATTCTTTTAATAAAACCCATCTCCGTAAAAATAGTTCCAGTCTCTGGTGGAGTTGATTTCCTGGTCTGGTCTACCTGATGGGGCTGACAGTTGCAAAGTGCGTTGCCCTTTGGCCTCCTGAATGCCCCACATTCCTTTGCTTTCTCTCCTGCGTGGGTGGCTTCCTAGGTCGGTTGGGAGTGCACGAGTTGTACGTTTATCAACAAGCCCACTCGCCCCGGCTGCGAAATGTGCTGCGCTGAACGGCCACTGGACTACGCCATTCCGGAAGACTATCAGCTGGACGCAGAGGAGCAGGAATGGCTTCAAAGGGAAGAAGAGGCCACACGCCAGTATGAGCAGGTGAGGGGTAGGATCTGGCCAGCCACATCTGGGTGGAAGGTTGATCTGGGAGGTCCAGGCACCCAGAGCAGTGTTTTAGAGGAGACAAGGAGCTGGACTCTGGTTCGCAGAAGGGAAGGTGGAGGGTCGTAAGAGGCTTCCATGTTTAGAAACCTGGATTGCTATCTTGAGTTTGTAGAGTCATCTGCTGTGGCTAATAGTAACTTTCTGAATTTTGGGAACAGAGGGCTTCTACAGGGCTCCGCAGGATATAATCTCGGAAACTAAATAAGCGAAGTTCCCATCCTCAGTTATGAGTTAATTCATTAAGGCAGAGTCTGTGTGAATGGTTTGAACCTCTTTTTCTCACAATGCAAACCGAAGGGCTAACTGTTCTTTCCCCAAATATGCCTGCCATTGAAACATCCATTTCAGGACATCTGGTGATGTCCTGAAAAAATCCCTTTGGTTTCTCAGTCTCAGTGAGTTCTTTTACATACCTGTGTGAATGCAGCCTGATCCTTATTTGCTGGAGAAGAGAATGGGCCATGCCTCTTCAGACTTCACATGTAATCTAGGCTGTAAAAGCCACACACCTAAGAAGTCCCCCACCCCCCTTCTCTCTCTGGGTACAGGTGAAGGAACAACAGAAGCAGAGAAACTATCAGCAACTCCTGCAGCGGGACAACCAGAATTTGGTGCCTTCTGAAGAAGCTGTTGAGTGCCCAATCTGCTTCGTGAACCTGGAGCCTGGAGAGGGGGTGACCCTGCGAGAATGCCTCCATTCCTTCTGCAAGTGAGCCTCCCAGAAGGGCTACCTCTTGGTTCCAAAATGTGCTCAGGATTTGTTGCCAAGTGCTGGTCATAAGGCAGAGGTGGACACTTGGATGATCTCTTGATGGTCTTAGGAGACAGCTAAGATGTGTTTATATAACTGATCTCCCTAGTGTGGGAACTGCTAGTTCCTACCTCTGTTCTCAGATTTCTCTTGGATGAGACCAGAACTGAGAGTTGCATTGGCAGTGATTCAAGGATGCAGATCAAGAACTAAGAAAGCCATTAAGAAAGAATTCCATTGATTGCCAAGTATAAAATGCAGGCCCTACATGAGTACTATGTGGTGGTAAAGTGGGGTATAAATAGGAAAGGCCGAACGGTGACTCTGGGGATCCGCAGTTCTTTTGGGAAGTAAAGAATTGGGAGAAGAAATTAAAACCGCAGGGACTCCTAGAGCTATTTGTGAAAGTGAAATGACTTTGCTACTTAAGTTCAGAGCTTTTGGTGACAGAGAGGTGCCCAAGTTTGCAAAGTTCTTCATGGCCACATCTGAGATCTGTGGAAGTTCTAGGAGTGGTCCAGTTTTATAAGAATCTTTTCTGTCCTTTCTCTCCGTCCCCCCAGGGACTGCTTGAGAGGGACCATCCTCAACAGCCCAGAACCGGAGGTCAAATGCCCCTACATTGACAACAACTACTCTTGTCCTTGGCAGTTGCTGGACCGTGAGATCAAAGCGGTGGGTATCCAAGTGGAGCTCAAAAAAAGCTGAGTAGTGTTTCATCCCCACTTCTAGTCCAACATTTCTCGCCACTGCCCCAGAATAGAAAAGCTGTGGCTTTCCAGATGATACCCAGCACCACTACTAACACCCAAATGGTGAAGGATGCTGGGGTTTGTAGTTTAGCAACATCTGGACTAGGGTTTCCAACCACCTAGGTTGGAGAACCTATTTGGAATGTTGACAGTGCATTGGGGGTGCTATCACAAAAGGGGAGACATCGTAGATATAATCACAGTAGAAAGATGGAAAACACCAGTTTGCCAAATTGCGCTCTCAGATCATTTTTAAACATATATTCATATATATATGAATAAAAATTTAAAGCAATACAAAGTGGGAACAATGTGTGCCCAGTTGGTTGGATATACAGGTAGTCTTCATTTAATGTCCACTTGTTCAGCGACCATTCAAAGTTGTGATGGCACTGAATGAGGGGGACTTATGACCAGTCCTCACAGTTGTGGCTGTCACAGTGTCCCTGCAGTCACATGACCACAATTTGGGTGCTTGGCAACTGGCTTGTAATTATGATGTGGCAGCCTCCCATGTGATCACTATTTGTGACCTTCACTGCTGGCTTCTGACAAGCAAAGTCAATGGGGAAGCTGGGAGGAGGTTGCAAGTCACGGCTGTGTGACTGCAGGATGCTGTGACCGCTTGGGATTTGCCTAACGCTGGAAACTGGGACTGTGGGAACTGCCATTGTAAGTTGGAACTGTCATGTGACATCATGCCTTACGACCACATCACTTAGCAACAGAGTTCCTGATCCAAATTACCATTGGTGAGCAAGGACTACCTGTATTAGTGGGACATTACATGGAGTATTCCAGACGTGGAGAACCATAAATCCCCCATCCTTTCTCTGTTGTCTTAGAATGGCTGTTTCTGGTTTTCAGTAGTGTTTGTTCATTGAACTGTTTTCTCCATTTTAGCTCAACTCTAGTATTTATTCTCAGCCATTTTTGCAGTGTCCTACTGGGGTGGGCTCCACAGGTTAAACTATCAATCATGATTGTCCCTGGGGCAGGTTCCTCAGTTGTCAAGCGCAGTTAGAATGAGGAACTGGAGCTGCCTACAACGATCTTTTCTAAAGTCTTCTCTGTTTCATCCATAGCTCCTAACGGAGGCTGAATATCAGCGCTTTCTGGACTTGGGCATCTCCATTGCTGAGAATCGCAGCCGGTTCAGTTACCACTGCAAAACTACGGACTGTCGGGGTTGGTGCTTCTATGAAGACGATGTGAATGAATTCTCCTGCCCTGTATGCCTCAAACTGAACTGCCTGGTGTGTCAGGTGAGCAGTGTCCCACCTCTGGAGAGGACATCACGCAAGACATGCTGCAGAAGGGGTGTGCGAAGGACAGGTCCATCCATCCATTCTGTTTGCAGATGACAAGGCTCTCCCTGTTCCAGATTGGTTTAGAAGGGGCACCCGGGGAGGAATCAAAAAAGTCAAGAGGGTGTCCGCAACCGCATGACTGAAGCCCTGCTCCTCTTTTTACGTGTGTTGCAGTGTGACATCTGTAAAGAGGGACGGGGCTTAGATCCCATGGAAATCCCAGCATTAATTCCTTTCTTAGCGGACGGAAAATTTGTCCTTCCAGGTGGATTAACCCTTGTTGGAAAAGGTCTCACCTGGGCCCTTCTTGGCATGGGGACATATTATTCCTCTCTTTCCTGCCCAATATTAACATCTGGAACCTGTTCCTTAAGGGGTGGAGTACTGGCAGGGCTCTGCTAAGGGAAGGTCAATACAAGCCAACTTAGGCTTGATGATGGACCAGGATCCAAGCAGTGTTTTGTCCACAGGCTATTCATGAAAACATGAACTGCAAGGAATACCAGGATGATCTCCGAATACGAGCGCAGAATGACCACGCTGCACAACAGACCACTGAAGTGTTGCTGGTGAGAAAGGCAGGGTTGCAGGGAACAACTTGCAGAAAACTCCCTTCCCTCCAGGGTGCGGCCCATCAAGCGTAGCAGACTTGTGTGATTCACCAACCCAGTGTCATCAAGAGCTCTTTCAGACATTTATCCCAGTTGATTTGCAGCTCCCCAGTTCCTTGTGGACTTGCATGGCATCCCCCCTTCAGGGTGCTCTAGAGATATTGGACCACCCACATCAATGGGCATTGTGTCTTACTCATCTGGAGAACATCTGGTTGATGTAGCTGGAGTACTAAGTGAGGTTCTGGGGTGCCAAGAGTTGCTCTTTAATCTCTGTCAGTCCTGAAACCTCTTTTGGTGATATTGGAGCAGCCCAATCCCGTTGCCAGATGTATCATCTGGATTTGCTAAACGTGGAAGACCTGACTAAATGAATTGGGTCATATTTTGTTCAAAGTGTTGTGGGAATCCCCCTCTGTGTTAGTGGTGTGTAAACCAGGCCACCACATTAAGCCATCGTACAGTTGATTTGTTTGGACATAGCTTGTCCCGCGAACAAGAGACCTGGAATACAAGTTAACCTAGTTTAGGTTTTACCCGTTAGCTGAGCCCAGCTGTGAGAAAAATATGGGACAATCTGATCTGGCAATTTGAGCAATTTCCAGGAGAAAGGAAGTATCAAAACACAGTTTTAAATTCACTTACTCCTTCCTCAAGCTATGCTACGCTAGCAGGAAATACTTGCTACCCCAATTCTTTGGTGGCTGCCAAAATGCAGAGGGCTAACTTAAATGAAATAGGAACTTGGTTATGTGAGTCAGCCCATTGCAGATGGAGGTTGCCCTCCATAACACCCATCTTACAGTGCAATTGAATGAGGCCTGTCTTGCTTCTGGTGTCAAGCACGTAGGGTTTTACATAAGAAGAACTTGGGCAATGGTCTTATATTAGTCAACCTCATTCACATTTTCTGTGGCTTTTTATGGTCATGTCACCAGGAGGCAGAAATATGCCACTAGTCAACTATCTGAAATCCTGGTTCCCTGACAAACTTCTTATGTTTTTGTCTCTGGCTTTTGAGAAAGGGAATTTGGGGAAATTTAGGCATACCATCTCTTTTTTGCTAACTCCTAGCAAAATCTGCATCATGCCTTTTGATTCCATGTATAAACTGATTATAGGTCTGGCCCCTTTCCTCACGCTCCCACCCCACCGGTTCTACTAGGAAGAGGCTGGCACAAGCTACTGGTGTTTGGACAGCTCTGTTCCCTTTTCAGAGACTGGTGAAGGATGGGGAGGCCATGTACTGCCCCACCTGCAGAATCATCGTCCAGAAGAAAGATGGCTGTGACTGGATCCGTTGCACTGTCTGCCACACAGAGATTTGCTGGGTGACCAAAGGCCCACGCTGGGGACCAGCCGTATGTATTGACCGAGTGTAGAAACAAGGGTGCCCAGGGCACGGTCTTCCCAACTGTGTCCTTTGGAATAATATTATGCATAACCCACACATTCGTACATATTGCAGAGGGTTGGACTAGATCAGTGTTTCTCAATCTCAGCAACTTTAAGAAGTGTGAACTTCAACTCCCAGAATTCCCCAGCCAGCATGTATGGACTTCAACTCCCAGAATTCTAGGTGTTGAAGTCCACACATCTTAAAGTTGTCAAGTTTGAGAAACACTGCTCTACAGGATCTGGGCTATGAAGTCCACAGGATAGCAAAGAACAGTATTGCTGCCTCCTGCTGGTTGTCTGGAGTTATGCAACCCCAATATGATAGTCCTGAATTACTGTAATTGACTGCCTCTGTTTCCCCATCTGTAATATCTACTGAAGGTGGCCTTGGGATAACTCATGACATCCCACTAGGTAAGGGGGTGGGGGAGAGTCAAAAAAGTCAAGATGGTGGCCACAGCTGTGTGATTGAAGCCCCAACACTTTTATACGTTGCTGCATCACAGATGGCCAAAAGGAGATTGGGATAGACTATGCGATGCTATGGTTGATTGGTAAAGGCTTTCCCTGAGGGGACCATCTGGTTATAAATAGGGGTCCCCAGACTCCCCCTCATATACACTCTTCACTAAAGACAGCAAGGTGCCAAATGGCTGACCTACATCTTTTACCCCAGGTCAAACGTAAGATGGCACTGAATTCAGATATGTGACACGTACACCTTTTCTTGGGGGGATGGCCCCGTACTTGCAGATCCTGCACCCCCTTTTCACGCTCTGCTCTTCTTTTGCCTCAGGGCTCGGGTGACACCAGCGGGGGCTGCCGTTGCAAAGTAAATGGGACCCCCTGTCATCCGCATTGTCAGAACTGCCACTGATCCAAGGGCACAGAGACTCCTGACCGTTGGACTGTCCATAGAGCCAGTTCGTGTGTGTGGGAGGACGGAGGCCTGGAGGGTGGCCAAGGTGAATTCTGGACAATTGGGCACATCTTCTACAGTGCGAGCAGGAACTGTTGGAATCGGGGCCCTTGGCTCTCAACGGGTCAATCTCAGAGACCTCTCCTGCGTCAACCGATGAGGTGACGGGGCCAAGTGGAAGGTGGCTCAGGGCTGGGTGCGGGGGACGTATTCCTCACGCCCTCCTGCATCTGTTGTGCACAGAGGCTTTGCTCGTTGGTTGGTTTCAGTTGAGAAGTTGCGCTGCCCTTTTCGTAGGGAGCAGCAGCAATTTTATTCTTCCCTTGCTCATCTGCACAAACAGCATTACGTTGTGCGTCCGTCAAGGTTTCAGGGTTGATCTGTGTGACCTCACCAAAGCCACAGATGCTCGTCACTTGCTGCATTAAAACCAGACTTGCGGGTTATGGTTGCATTACAAAATACGCTGACTTGGCATATGTTTCATTTTTGCTTGCTTTACCTTAAGGATATTTATAAGCCAAGAAGATGTTGCTTCTTCTTTAGGTCACCCAGCTACAACATAACTCCTGTCATTTCAGACTGGATCAGTGTCAGATGGAGCTCTGTGGTTCTGTGGTCACCTCTCCTGGCACCCAAATCTAGTTTCTGAAATTTAATGTAAGGTTGGCACAGAATCTTTCCAGAGAAAGTGAGAAGTCTGCAGAATGGATCCTCAACAAGATGTATGTCATGATGTCCTATGAGATATGATAGCAAAAATAGCATAAGGAGGGCTGGGAATTACTGTTGTGAAATTGCTAAAAAGGTCCTTTTTTTCTTTTTTAAATACACCATTATGTGAATTAACTACTGGAAATAGTACCAAGAGGTGTTAAAACGATGGGGAGGATGCAATGAGATACCAATAGTTTTTCAAATACTTTTGGGAAGCCTGGAGAACCAGAGACAATCTGGAGCAATGTTTCTCAACCTTGGCAACTTTAAGAGGTGTGGACTTCAACCCCCAGAATTCCCCAGCCAGGTTTTCCTCCAGGGCTCATCATTCAGACCTCTTCCTTGGACCAAAATCGACATTTAAGAATTAAAAAGAACATCTGTCATTTGTCTAAGGCAGAGTTTCTCAACCTTGCTGGCTGGGGAATTCTGGGAGTTGAAATTCACACCTCTTAAAGTTGCCAAGATTGAGAAACACTGATCTAGAGGGATTTAGAATGTTATATTAGCATATCTGTCTTAGACAACATACCTGGAACATACCTGGAAAATTAAAAAGAGAATTTAGGTGCAAGAAAGATATGTCACATGATGTCCTTTGGGGAACATTGGACTTGATTTTACTTAATGTTTTTTTAGGTGTGTACATTGATAACATTATTTGAAAGATAAATATTTCTGATTTGGGAAGATAAAGATATCCCAAATTATCTGTCCATGATGATGAAATGGAATTTATGCAGAAGTCATTTTAGCTGTTTGTAAAAGCTCACCTTTCTTCTCTTTGCCTCCAATAAGATTACTAAGCAGCTATGGTATCAGAAGAACCTCAACATTTTGGTAGACATTCATTATTACCATGATTATGTGATTCCCTTTGATCCAGTGCTTTGATACTGCTATGTTTGATTCCGTACAATATTTGTGCTTTGTGACAAAAGTGTTAAGTTTGCCTCAGAAAATGATTAAAAGATAAATAACTTGCATTTTCAACCCTCCAGGCGGTAAATGGCAAAGGGAACTTTGATGGTGTATTTCAGAATTCACAGAAAGATTAAGCCATGGCATTTATGCAAACCTTGGTTAGATTTTGTGGCTGGGTATGTTGGGTGAATAACAGTCCTGTTTGATTAATTCAGGGCATTGTGCAATCAGCGAAGTATCCCTTCGCTGGGTCTTCATTTCGCGGTTTGCCATTTCTTCCCATAAAAGTCGTTTATGCTTTGTTATAAATGTGACCTCACCCTACTTGTACTGAGGAGTGTGCGTGGTGCTGGTGGAGTGTCAAAGAGTCAAGATAGCAATTGCAACAGTATGATTGAAGCCCTTCCCCCTTTTGATGGGGGAATTGATGATTGAAGCTGTGTGTAAATAAAGGGGGCAGGGCTTCCATTGCAGCCACCATCTTGCCTTTTTTGACCCCTTCTCCCATTTGGAGAGTGAACTAACCATTCCATGCTAGCTGGTTGAAGGCTTGGTGCAACTTAAATATGGAACTTAAAAGTTGAAGGCGAACCAATGGCAGATGCAGTAGAAGTTCCTTGGTGGCCATAGACCAGTGTTTCTCAACCTTGGCAAGTTGAAGATGGGTGGACTTCAACTCCTAGAATTCCCCCGCCAGCATGAATTCTGGGAGTTGAAGTCCACCCATCCTCCTTGCCAAGGTTGAGAAACACTGCAATAGACCCATAAAACATTCCAGATTCCATTCTACTTTTTTGCAGTGGCTTTTGACTCTTTCCAAGTGACATTTATTTCTCAAGGTTCTTGCTTTTGAGATCAGAGCCCAGGGAACCTGCTGCAATAAGATTTCCTGGGGGCACGTGGCTGGCCTTGGCCAAAACAGGCTGGCCATGTAGCGTGCCCAACTGGGGCCTTTACAATCTCACAACCATGGTTTCCTTCACCTCTGTGAGGAGGCTGATGGCTACTGTCTCCCAGCTGCACTGAGCACTGGCTGAGCTGCCCTGGGCCTGTTTCCAGGGAGGCTGGAAATAGAAGACTGATTAGTCAAAGCATAAGGAGGAAGAGGAAGGGTGGGAAGGAAGAAAAGCCTTGGTTATTTCATGTGGCCGGGGGAAGAGCTGTGGCATCTTCCTGAAAAACAGCCCACTGCCAACCTGTGCTTTAGTAAGTTAATACCGCATTTATTTATTTTATACAATTACAAGCCCTGTACAAATCTACATGTTACATACGTACATAGAGTATACAAAATAGCTACACTGTCCAGGAATTCCCATGCACGACGGGAGGGCTGTTGGTATCCCCATTTTTCTCTGCTAACTCAACTTTTGGGCTTTGCTACCTGCCTGTCCACTGTGGGGTGAAGTTAAGCACGTGACAGGTGGGCAAGATGCTCTGGACTGGTGGGCACACAACTGCAGTGGGCCCAAGCCACGGACTTCTAGGGTCACAATTGCTCTGTTGACAAGCACAGGATCACGTAAAGTTGAAGTGTCCCATCAGCTGGTATTCAGAGCAAATGCTGCCAGGCTGCTTTGTCAGAAACTGGTAACCAGGCAGGCCAGAAGCCCACACCCCTGGAGGTGTACCCTCCTGCCTGAATAGCAGCAAAGGAAAAGGGTCACCTACAGATGGTGGAGCCTCCAAGCCTCGTCTGTTCCCCTCTTCCCAGCTTCACCCTGGCAGTGGTGTCCCAGTTAATTCACCCTTGGAGGAGGCCAGGTCCTCAGCAGATGTGCATCACTGTCCTTTCCTCTGTCCAACAGAAGTGTGAATAACCAGCAAAATCCAAGGGCAAAGTTTTTTTCTAGACTGCAGGGCAAAGTCCAAATTGCTCCTATGAAGATAGAGCATCCTTTTGCCAAATGTTCCTTGATGCCTGGTTTTCTATGGGTAGGACTCTGGGTGTGGGTTGAGAGGGAGGGAGAGGAAATTACTCAAGCCTTAACAAAACCTTCTCCAAAAATAGCACTGCTAGATTCTGCTGACCGAAGCTGAACTGGTAAGACAGTTCTTACAAAATACAATGAAAGCATGAAATAGAATTTCTCTTTCTAATCACTGCATGTTTCACTTCCTATAGTTACAGCAAATTTTAGGGCTAAAATCTGGAGTTTTGGTTGGTTACTATAACAGATCCAGCAGGAGGAGGAGGAAATGCCTCTACTCTAACAAACCAGAAATCAATAGGCCACTACAAAGAAAGGGAGGGAGTGTTTCCTGCCTTAGTATTTCTCTCTACAAAGGCCATTCTCTGCCATGGCCTCATTCTTCTTTTAGGACTGATTTTTGTAAAGTGCTTTTCTTGAACACGAGCTCAGGGATTCCCCAGCCACCTACACAGGCCCCCTTCTCTTAGAGGCCTCCTCTTGGCCACAGCATGACTTGCCTCATCCCTTTTCGTCACTGCTCTTCTGATGGCACCACCTCACGCCCAGTTCTTTCTCATGATATGACACTGTATTTAGACCCCAGTTTTTGGGGAAAGAGTACCAATGGTCCCCTCCAGCTTCAGAGGTATGGTAGAGTCCAAAATTCGTCATTAAACAAGTTGGGAGACAAATGGCTGATCTGCCTAGAAACTGCTGAACAACCGTACTGCAACTGCAACTGCAAAGAAAAGGTTCAAGTCCATCCAGCTTCTTAGTTAAGGTGGTCTTTAGATCCACAAGCCCAATCCAACCCCTGGAGGAAGGCACAGTCCTTCTTGCATCACTCCCGAGCTTGTCCAGAAGAGAAGGCCAGCAAGCACATGGGAAAGACAACTTGCTGTGGGTGCCCTGGTCACCTGTCTTCCAGTATAAGCCAATCTCAGCACACAGCAGAATTAAGTGCAATGGTTTTAAAGAAGCACACACAAAGCTGAGCTCTAGGTCTTTCCATGAGGTGGAACTTCTGAAGGACATTGTGGGCTCATCCTCCAGCCTGAAGAACATGGCAGGATGAGCTTGCTGCAAACCTCGATGCTCAGCTGTCCAGTCATCCTCTCTTTGCTCAATGCATTACCCGCTGGTGCCAACCTGACAAAGTGAGCAATCCTTGGCTTGGGCATTGAAGGTAGGGGGGGTGGCTCTTACTCTTCAGATGCTTACTCTTGGCTGGTGGCTTCCAAGATGGCCAAGAACTTGTTTGCCAAAAGTAGCAAAGGTTGGGTAAGGACACTTGTGAGAGGCTTTTCTAGAGGAAGTAGAGTGGGGGAGTGGGGAATCACTGACAGAGTGCATGGGATAAAGTGAACCATCTCTGTGAGAGTCCTTCATGCAGGCAAAGAGAAACTCCCATTTTCTGTCAGGGAAAGTTCCGCATATCCCACTTTGATTTGGGTAATTATTACTGATTTTCAACTTTGATAGCAACAGACATTTTGAAAGTCCCAAGAAGATCTATTCCATGCTATAACAAGACCCACTTTCCTGCTGCTCCCTTTCTAGCTAACACAGCAGATGTCCAAAGGAGAGCCAGCAGGAGTCCAGTTCTGCTGTTGCAACTGCCCAGAAACTAGCTGCCCTCTTCCATTTTTGATAAGACAGACAATGGAATCGTTTGGAGAGGGTACTGAGATTCCCAAAGCTTATCTAAGTCAGGTCTCTCATTCAGTTAAAACTGCAGGAACACCACCGCTTTTCTCTGAATAAATGTCTTCCCTTTTCATCAAGTGGAAGCCGGAGGACAGAAGAGGTCTTCATGGAGTACAAAATGGTCAATTGCCACTTGGGTCAGCTGGCCAAAAAAGCCAGCAAAATTGGGACCATCCAGCCTGTGGCAGCCCAAGGCAACTGTCCTCCTCTATTCCAAAGGCTGCTCGTGGAAGAGAACTGATTTGTGGCCGCTACCCTGAAAACCCTGAAAGCTTGCCTTCTGCAGAGATGGCTGCCAGCCTGTGGACCATCTGGCAGGAGATGAGAGAGGGAGTGCCTTCCTTCCTTCCTAGGGAAATATTTGCAGTTCGAATTTGGGTGCCCATTCAAGGGCGCTCTTTACCACAGCCAGAGCTGCTGCCCCCAGTGCTACCGTCAGCCCCATCACTGCCAGCTTGACAAAGCGGTTGGTCCTTGGTTTTGTCGCCAAGAGTGATTTGGCGCTCTCCTCAGCTCGGAGTCGTTCTCGGAAGCGCTGCCGGAGAATGGTGTCGGGCCGCTGCTGGGCTGAAGCCAGCTCGAAGTCTTTGAAGGTGGAAGCCGCCGTTCTGAATGGGAAGAAGAAAAAGGAGGTGAGGAATGTTGTTGGAAACCCTCAGAGGGGAGAATCTTTCCCATGGTAGAGAACAGAGGGGACTTCTTGATGGACTTCGGTTGTGCAATAAATAAGGAATACTCTGAGGAGGAAAGACAAGGGAATTCCTCCCTCCAACATCAGGGATAAGATGTCCCCATGAGAGCATCCAAACCCTTGCTTTATCTTGGATACTTAGTCATTTCACAGATGGGGCCCTTTCACAATATTAATTTTCCTTTGGGGACACCTCAATAGGATTAGATCACCACAGACAATGGCAAGGAGAAGCAGACGGCTCCTGAGCACGCTTGTTATTACTAAGGAAATAACAGGAAAACTCCTCTTAATCAAGCTTAGCTCCAGGCCATCTGGAATGTCCATGTGGCTTCTCCACAGCAACATGGAACTACCTTTTTCTGGTATTTTTTTTTCAGCTTCCCAGATTGGCCTATAGCCCT